TAAACACCAGTACATTTTGCATTCTTATGCCATTGCCGTTAACTTTGCCCGCAGCGGAGAAATGCTCGAGTGGAAACAGGATCGGGATCGAGATTCTACGGTTCTCCAATTCTGGGGAGAGAGAGAGAGAGAGAGAGAGAGAGAGAGAGAGAGAGAGAGAGAGAGAGGCTGTGTGTGTGCGATGGGGATGAGATGCAGATGAAGTGGGGATGAGATGGGGAGGAAATGGGGATGAGCTGGGAACTTCAAGGAAGAGAGCGGTTAAATATGAGGCAGTGAAGTGATTGTTTTATGTCTGCCAATGTACGCAGAAACGCGCAAATGGTCTTGTGAGGAGGTCATCTCAGCTGCTGAATGAGCAAAATTCCGCAGAGGCAACTGCTTAGCAACAGAAGGCTGCACAGCGAGCAACAGGGAAGCTGCGGAAGTGGACGGAACGAAATTTAATTAAAAGGGACTGGGGCATTGCAAGAGCTCATCACCAGAGCGAGATTGTTGAATCTCGCCCACCAGAAGGGTATCCTTTCCACCTGACTTCGTCGGGGCATGATGTCGGGAGGGCGTATACAAGTGGAGAGGCGGACCGATGCACAGTCTCAAGGCGTTGTTGTGATTACGATAAACAGACCTGAGGCATTGAATTCCCTCACCAGGGAGATGATTGTTGACTTAGCACGGGTCTTTGCTGAACTTTCAGAGGATCCTTCCGTGCGTGTGGTCTGCCTCACTGGAGCTGGGAGAGCATTCTGCGCAGGTGTTGATTTAACGGCAGCAAGCTCGGTCTTTCAAGGAAATGCCTTTGACAACGAGCACGAGAGTCCCGTTGCTCAGATGGCCAAGTGTTCTTTTCCAATCATTGGAGTGATTAATGGTGCTGCAGTCACGGCAGGCCTCGAGCTAGCTTTGGCATGCGATATCCTCATCGCGAGTACGAAGGCCCGTTTCGCAGACACGCATTGCGTGTTTGGAATTGCGCCAGGTTGGGGGCTTTCGCAGAAGCTTCCTCGTATGATCGCCGCAAACCGCGCCCGAGATTTCTCTTTCTCTGGAAAGTTCATTACGGGGGAGACGGCAGAGAAGTGGGGGCTTGTTAGCCAAGTGGTGGAGCCTGAGCGCCTCATGGCAGTGGCTATCGCCTTTGCATCCACCATAGCCAAGAATCATCAGAAGATGGTGAAGCACTACAAGCGTGTTCTCAATGATGGACTAGGAATGCCTTTGAAGGAGGCGCTTCAGATGGAGCAGAATCGTGCACAAGAATACTACGCGACTATGGGTCCCGATGCATTCGAGAAAATGAAAAAATTTATTGCGTCGAGGTCTGCGGCCGCAGAGAAGGAGACGAAGAAGCCAAGTCCGGCGAAGGACTCGTCCCGTCCACCCAGGTCGCGGATGTGAGTGACTTCTGCCCCCCAGTGTTGCTCTTTCAGAATTGCCACACACATTTGCCGCATGCGTAAGAGTCGGGAGTCTCGGGGCGAAGAGCAGTTCTTTTTTTTTAATTCATACTGCCATGCTGTTTGTTTCCTTCACTTGTCCACAATTCCTGTCCTTATTCATACTGTTCATTTCCTTCACTTGTCTGGTGGAACAGATGGGAGAGCGGGGAGAGAGAAAATTTTGTCCACACAATTGTCATCAATTCATAATCAACATTTTTTTTCGAACAAGGGACGAGGAATTCGGTCGCTGACGTCATCTGCCGAAGCCACCTTCTCCCAAATGCATCACCTGACGAAGAATGATGGGAGTACTGCCCGTTTTCGGGGTTTAGGGTTTGAAGGCACATGACAAATATTATAACGCTGTATCGATCACTGCGAACATAGTTAAGCTACAGAGCTGTGATTACTTGCTGGTTCTTCTCCGATCTCGTCGGATCTTCATCTATTCAGATCTTATCAATCAGATCTTGTCCTATCGTACACTTTGTCTGAACTCTGTCCTCTTCAGCCAAAACTAGTGATTGTCAATAGTGGCCAGCTGCTGGCTGCCCAATGTAGGTATGGCCAATCACACACGTGTTTCATGCAAGACTGAACCAAATGTAGGTATCGCCATCGCCAATCAAACAAGCATGTCATGCAAGACTTAACCAAATGGATATCCAATTCGCTGGTCATCATCAGTTGGAGGAAATTCAGCGAAGCGCTCATCTCATCGTCAAGGGAATGTCATGAAGCAATCGCCATACTGGCCAGCTGCTGGCTGCCCAATGTAGGTATGGCCAATCACACACGCGTTTCATGCAAGACTGAACCAAATGTAGGTATCGCCATCGCCAATCAAACAAGCATGTCATGCCAGACTTAACCAAATGGATATCCAATTCAGTGATCATCATCGGTTGGAGGAAATTCAGGGAAGCCCTCATCTCATCGTCGAGGGAATGTCATGAAGCAATCGCCATCTATTCCAGGACCTTCTGATTCAGCACTCTAATGTAGTTTGGCGCGCTCTGTAATTGATTATGCTCAGGACTCAGGAGGTGTGCAGGTGGCGCTCGTTTGCCAATTGCAGATCCAGATGGATGCCTGTCTCTTATACACATCTAGATGTGTATAAGAGACAGGGAGAAAGTGAGTCAGGGGAGGAAGGTAGAAAAGGGAAAGCCCGACTGCAGGACTCACCGTGGACAAAGGCTGAGATGTGGAAACGATGCTCAATTGTGGAGGGGTTAGCGTTGCTTCCCGTACCATGAGACAAAGTTGAGATAGGATGAAGGAGATGTGGAGGAGAGAGACTGAGCAAGAGGAAGCAGACTGTGATTAGAGAAAGGGACGAACAAAAGCGAGAAGGGGAGAGGATCAGTTACCCTCACCAGGTCGAGTAGCCATGCCGCCTAGTTGGCCGTCTCCATCGCCATGCCAGCAAGATCACCCTCTTCACCACACTCTCTGTTGTTGTCGAACCGGCATCATCACGATCCCGGTTGCATCGTCAGAGTGGTTGTTGCAGTCGTACCGGATGTCGTGATCATCGCTACTCCGGACTGAACGGCCACTTGAGTTAAGGCGGGATCCTATGCTGAGTACATGCAACCAGCTGGGCGACGCGATGATAGACGAGGAAGGAGAGGACTGAGAAGTGGAGAAGGCCGCTACTCCCGACAGAATGGCTGAGGAGGCACCTGAGTTAAGGCGGGATCCGATGGTGAGTACGTGCTACCAGCTGGGCGGCGCAATGGTGAATGAGGGAGGAGAAGACTGAGGAGGGGAGAAGAAGATGTGAAAGGAGAAGAAGTTTCTGGAGAGGGGTAACGAGGAGGAGACAAGGTGACGGAGCCTGCGGAAGGTGCAAGAGTCTTGCTGGACTTCAAGGCGCAAGATTTTTGTTTGACTTCAAGGTGCAAGAGTTTGTTTGACTTCATTTTATTTATTCGTTTATGTGATGAATCTGTCCCCTGTCTGGGGCAAATTCGTAGTGAATGGATTCGCGACCTGCCTGTCGCAGCCTGCTGAGGAGCAGCGGTGAAGAAGAGGGAGGAGGAAAGGAGGAGGAGGTGAAGGGGGGAAGAAGGGAAGGAGGAGGAAGAGGGGGGACAGGAAGGAGGAGATGGGACCATGTTCGTGATTCGTGCACCATCACCGTTTCGTGACCGGGTTCTGTTTTTATTTTCATGTGTGTTTGTGCCCGTCTTTCGTCTCCTATTCGCTCGTGGTGTCTTCATGTTTGCCCCGTGATGCCCCTCGTGATCGCTCTGCTCGCTTTGTTGAATCTGATCATCTGGGATCGTGCTCGCACTTCGAAGAAGTGCATGCTTGTGTTTGTGCCCTTGAATCCTCGCTGTGTTTGTGGTTGTGTTCATGTTTGCAAATGTTCGTCGTGGTTGTGTTCGTGCCCTTGAATCATCGCTGTGTTTGTGGTTGTGTTCATGTTTGTAAATGTTCGTCGTGTTTGTGAATTTTGCTCTTATGTATGTGTGTTTTCATGATTCTGTTCTCATTTCATGATCATGTACTTGTTCGCGATCTTTGTCTTCATTTGTGTTCACGTACTTGTCCGTGATCTTGTACATTTGCGTGAGTTTGTCTTTCTTCCTGCTCAGGTATGTGCTCTCGATCGTCGTCCTTATTCGTGTTTCTGCATGTGTTCGTAATCTTTGTCTTTGTTTCTTTTTCTTGCTCAGCTTGTGTTCCCTCTCAGTTGTGGTTGTAATTGCAGCCGAACAATGGGGGAAAGCCGCGATCAGAAAGGCGGTTAGGATGAGCAAAGAAGGGGGGGGGGGGGGGGCGAAAGAGGAAGAAGCTGTAGAGGGGAAAAGAACAAGAAGGAGAAGACAAGGAAGGAGGGGAAAAGTCGAAAGAGATAGGGAGATGGAGGGAAGGAATGGAATCCGGCTGTTTAGTTGGAGTGAAGCATAATGATGGTCCCCACGGATGATGACAAATTGTGATTTTGCCTACCGTCCTCCCCCCCGAACACAATGCACCCTCATTTCGGCTGTTTCTGACCGGAAATATGGCTTGTATACATTTGTTGTCAGGGTGCGTTATGTTCGGGGGAAGAGGGTAGTGCTCTGAATGTCAAAATGAATAAGTGCACCCAAACGCTGGGGCGCCTTCCTCGTCGACATGTTGACACCATCATCGCTGCTGTTTTGGCCATCGACATTTGTTGTGGCCGGCTTAGGACCTCACCACCCGGCACACCAAACAAAAACGAAACGTGCATCTACCCATGAAAGGTGGCAAAATGCACTCGTTACTATTTATAGCAAACCCATGAACCTGTCCAATTTGTGGGAAGATGCACTCATTTGTTTTGCGTTTCGTGTGCCGTGTGGCTACGCCCTCAGTTGCCCCTGCAATCTATTGTTCTCGTCCTTGTTCATTGTGACCGTCCTTGTAATATACAGTGCTGGCCTTCACTCGTGATGTCTGTGTTTGGAACCGTGACTAACGAAGATAGCCATTGTGCTCGTTGGCAGTGCCGGTATAGTCAGTGCTGATCTTCATTGCTATCGTTTCTTGTTATTTCTATTTTCTTTGAATCTGGCGGCGGGTATAGCTGGATTCGTTCGTGACGTAGTAACATGGAGTGGCAGAGAGCTCTGTTCCGACTGAGCTCCCAAACTTGGGTTTGGGCCTGGCTTGTGGGAACATGCTTATGAGCCGGATACATGAAGTAAAGAGTGCAGAGAGCGTACGAGGGGTGGAGGAGGGTTAAGAAACAGTCAATAAAGAAGGAGAACTGACATGAGAGGGAGTAAGGGAGGACAGAGGAGCAAAGAGGAGATGAGAGGAGAGGGTTCAGCCTCGTGAGGAGTCGTTGAAACTCCGACGAAATGGTCTGTTATAGCCCCTCGTTTGTTGTCCCCTTCTCGCTCTCTGCCTGCTGTTCACCGGGCATTTCTCTATTACGATGTATCAATCCTTGGGCTCGCCATCGCATCCTACCACGTTGTTCCCATGAGTAGTCAGTCATACGCGTGTCTCAAAGACTGAGCCATGCATGCACGTTGAAGTGTGAACACTTTGCACACTAAACTGTGCATGGCCTGTTCAATTAATTAAGGTTTACAGTTTACTATGTTTATTTAAACGACCAGTACCTTTCCCATATGTCGGCCGCGGACACTGAGCGCCGGCCCGAAAATCAACACTGGCCGACGATTCGATTTATCGGTGGCCGCCCTTCCGTTTCAGGCCAGTGCGTTATCCGACGCGCCTCTGAAAAAATAGCTGGGAAAGGTACTGGTGGCTTAAAGGCTTCCTTGTCAATTGGAAGGTAAACGCAATGTTAGAGCTTGTACGTGTAGCATATCCCGACTTCTTATTTATTTTTTATGCATCTATTTGTTTGCTTGTGAATTTACCAATTCGTTTACTCTAGTCTGTGTCATTCTTGACTAGTGCTCGAGTTGGTTGCTGCCCCTAAGTAATTTAGAAGGCACAGCAAAGCTTGAGTGTGTTGGTGTTGAAGATGGTGAAATGGGTATAGCACTAGTGGAAGAAGAGGGATTAAAAGACGGAGAGGAAGGGTAGTTGAAGAAGGAGAAGCAAAGTGAAAAAGGGGGGATTGGTGTTGGTGAGCGAGGAGAAATAGGAATAGAAAGGGGTGTATGTAAACCAGACTAGCGGTGCTGTTTGGATGGGAGGAAGGGAGGAAGAGAAGCTGAAAAAGGGGCAGATTGAGCCGAAGCAGCCTAGTGAGTGAATCATGGTGTAGCACACTGCGGATGACCGCTGCAGTTAGTCAGCGACCGGTGGCGGTAGCAGGCGCGGCATGAAGTGGCAACAGGCTGTATCATTTTATGGTATAGAGGATTAGAGCAGCACCCGACATCGGTGAGACTGTACTGAGGCTAGACACAACAACTTGAGCACGACAGGGGTCTAAATGGCAGTAGGAGGAGGCTGCGAAACACGGAAAGAGTTAGGTAGTCATTGCCTACATCGCCCCTTCTGGCTATATGTGTGTTCTGTGCAACCCCTATTAGTACTGACCCCTGCATTTTGTTGCCCAAATTTACGTAAGAAGAACTCGCCAGGTGCGCATTTGCTGTACCGATTATTATCTGATTGTGGGTACGAACCCCAGGCCTACGCGAGTGCTTTGCTCAAAGACCCTGTTTTGCATTGTGTCAATGGTTGGCCCTAAAGTTGAGCCCAAGTTTAAGCTAGGATCCTTTTAAGCTCAGGCTCGGCCATGATGATGCTGTGAGTGTTAATATGACTTAACTATATATCATTCCTCTTTTTATTTTCTTTGACAAGCACGGGCGACGTGGGTTGCGAACCTCTCCAGACTCAGCTTGTCCAAATTTTTGATCAAAATAACTTGAATTAAAACTTTGATGAGCACGGATGAGATAGGTTGCGAACCTCTTGCGATCTTTGCTTGTATATATAAATATAAATATAGAGTCTTTATAGACTTCAAAGAAAAGTTTGGTAAGTGCAAACCTCCCTCGATCCGACTTGTCCAGACTTCGTTCCCCATCTGAACGGCCCGAGGTAATTGAGAAATATTCTAGGCTGCACTCCGGGCTGTCCGGCGCCCGGCTTGTCGCCCGGGGGGGGGGGCCGGGCCGCCTGGCCGGTCGTCCCGCCCGGTTGGCC